TCACTAGCTTATGATTGATGCCTCTCTCGATATATCCGGATCGCTGTGTCAGCGATTGTGATGTGACGAGGTGAGCCCCCTGTTTGTCTGGCATGCGCACCAGCATGCGAGCAAGCTTGTCTGCATCCCCTTCAGTTATCACTTTCATTGCGATATGCTCGACGTAGGCATCCGTCCCAATGGGGACTCCCACAACTGTGATGCCCTCCTCCGCAATCGGTAGGCCTGCATCGCCAAGTAGCCTCCTTTCTGCTGGCGTCACGTCGTGCCCTGGTGGGGGAAGCGCTGAGCTCTTCCCCCTGTTGACGATGATGCCCACAGCTTCTAGTTCGTCGACGAGGTCCGGTATCACCTGGATATTTTCCGCTGTGATATTTTTGAAGTGCAGGCTGATGTCGTCCATATAAGCTTTCAAGCATACCCCGAGGTGGTCGTACTTGGCTCTAAGCTTCAAGACGATCGGGACTAGGATGAAGCAGAACAGGGGCGGTCCCATTCCATCTCCTTGCTGCACACCGCTCTTGCACTCGATCGTCCGACGCTCCCCGGAGTCCATCGCGTATATCGCCTTTGCCGGGATCTCGTCGTAACACCTGGCGATGTACCCCACGAGATCTGGGACGCTCTTTGCGGCCTGGGCCATTATGGCGGTGCGCTTGCCCGTGTTGAAGGCATTTGAGCAATCCGTCTGGACTACCCAATGACCTGTCTGATGAACCAGTTGTGCGTCCATCGCAACTTGTTCAACTCCTCCAGCTACCGCCACTCCGAATTGGTCCGCTTCCCGAAATATTTCTTCCAGTTTCGGTTTCCACTCCCTGACCGTTCCCGCTGCAATCAGCCTTCTCCAAGTCATTCCAATGCACACTGGACGGCACTTTTCACCGAGGGCGATTAGACTGGATTGTTTCCAAAGAGTCCAGAACTCCGGTGGGAACGCGTTGGGATCGTTGATGAGCCTCCTCCAAAGGGACGACATTTCGTTGCTGAACTCTTCCCGACCAATTTTAGAGTTGACGATGGACTTAAGGTGGGAGAAACGTTGCCCGTCATTTCCTGCTCCAGAGTTAGAGCTTCTGCTGTTGATGACTTGAAGGAGTACTTGTGGATCGAACTCGGTTTCTGGCCTCCATCTCGGGGCGCTTCCTTCCTCCTCCTCGGTGCGGCTTGCAGCTATGGCTTCGGCGATGGCCTGCTCCACTTGTACGGGATCCTCATGCGGAAATTTGGCTTTCAGACGTGCCCATGTCTCGTCGTTCCCCGGTGACGGTTGATCGGCTAGGAGCGCTCTTGCTGCGTCCTTCACGCCTCCAGATTGCCGGCATGCCTGCGCCGCCCTTTTGAACTTGTCGTCGGGTGTGTCTTTCCGTGCCAGTCCCCTGCTCCTTGCACTCGCCGCCCTGGTATACTCAATCAGCCAAGGAAGAACGGGCGATATATCCCCTCTTTGAGCGAGTTGTAGCGTTCTTTTCGAGCTATCCGACCATCAAAGGAGTGCAGAATACCTGGTAGGAGGTACCAAAGTTTGATGACCCGGATAGTGGAAAGTGGGGTCCCGGTCGCCGAGGAAGCTCCGCCGCCTTCTGCTAGCTGCTTGTTAACAAGGTGGAGCACGTGAGTTTGGAGACGGGCATGGTCGGAAGCAAACCTAGGTTGAACTTTCTTCACCGTTTGGAACCTGAGTGTGAGATCATCTATGCTGACATCTTCCAAAGCAGGCCCTATTCCCGGACTGTCTTGGTTCCAGATGTACAGCGGACGTGCTCCGTGGGGTTCGTCGTTTAACCCCCTTATCAGTCTTTCAGCTCGTAGCTGCAGCCCCGGGTCAGCTTGAACCGCCGCCTCCAGGCTGTCCCTCCGAGAGTGTTGGTCCCCGCACCCGTGCACCCTACACTCAAGCAGCGCGCGTTCTCCGCGTCCCTCCAAGCTAGTTAGTACGCATCTTGCGTGGATGGGATGCCCGCAAGTGGGTTGCACCACACGGTGTCCCTCGATTACCTCACCCGAGCACACTCCGCATCTGGTACTGGAACGAGGGTGCTCGCTTCTGTTCCCCGTGGCGCCAGGTTCCATGCTTCCTCCAGCGTCCCCGTTCCTGGTCGCTCGGTCATCGGCACCCGGAGTAGCCGTTCCTCCCGATCCCCTTTCCCGGCGTGTTCGTGCCGGATGTGATGGCGTTCCTCTTTCTCGCGACTCACCGTCTGGATCCGGTTCACTTCCCTGCCGGCGTCGCCTGTTTCCGCCTTGAGGTGGTTCCGAGGAAGTTCGTTGACGTTCACCCGATGTAGTAGCGTCATCCGATAATCCGCTACCCTCGCGAGCAGATGGTCTGCGCCGCCTTGGCGTTCCTAGTGATTGGCTTCTTTCCCCGGGTCTTACTTGAGGGCTCGTCCGACTGGTGGCGTGTGCTGTTGTGGATGGGTTTCTCGGGGACAACAATCCTCCTTCCTCCTCTGGGCCGCTTCCCATGTCAAAGCCCGGGTCGATGCCAACTCCCGTCACCCTTCGTGGGGCCACGACAGTCGGGGTCACTGTGTTTCTGCTAGTTTCGCCTCCTTGGTGGGGTGGGACATGGTGTTCATCCCAGTCGTCGTGGCGCCGGGCCACCCCCGCTACTCGCGGGAATGGCGGCAGAGGTTGGCCGGGGTTGCGTAGGGCGTTCTGTACTGCTACGGTGTATAATGTGAGATGCGATTCGCACTCCTGGTCCAGGTGCACCAGGTATTCCTGTACGTGTGGCGCAATGTAGATTCTGCCCCGGGGGAGCCGCAATAGCACCTGATACGGCCGTATTCCATGGGCGTAAAATGTAGAGCGGTATCTCTGGACCAACCGGTCCCACCCGTTGTCCTCGTTGCGGCCCCGAGGGAAGTATATGTAAACTGTAACTTCTGAACTGTGGGTGTGTACATTGTTCAGGGCGAACTGTGCATGCATGAAATCATTCGAGCTTCTTCTTGGAGCCTCGTCGTCTTGTACACGTAAACTTCATCATCCTATCTATACTCCCCGGGAAACGTTCCGTGTTTCCCCCGTCACCACGTAATCACGTAACGCGTGAATGTGGCGGCGGCTGAAACGTCTGTCTACTCTGGAGAAAGTGAATATACAGCAGTAGCCTGGAAAAACTTCCGAAGCAAGGGCGGGTGTGTGCATGTTTCAGAGTAGAACTAGGGATAGATGGAAAGCAATCGAGCCTCTTCTTCTTATCAGTAAGGATGAGATGTTCACTCGGTCTTTCGGAAAAACATCGGCGGGGTATACGCGTAGATAGAAAGTATGCAAAACTGGTGGTGCTCGCGTGAGAGATTGGTCTCAAACACATGATGCTCGTTGCGAGCATGGTACGGGGATTGTTGACCAAGTTCTGCCCCTCCTTCCGTTTCTTAGGCGGGGGTTGTTGTATGGACCTGCTTCACAGCAACGAGTACCCCCTATTTCAAATTTTCTCACTCGTTCTGCAGCGCAAACTCTCCGTTTAGGCGGGAAACGGAGTGCAATAAGTAAACAATATCAATTCGAGCAAGAGCAACCAACCGAAAAGAAATTTTAGAAAATGTAGGTGCCGCGGACCAATCTAATACGCACAAGATATCAAAGCCCGCAAATACCGCCAACAACCAGCACTTCGCTTCCCGTGCCGTCAGCTACCTGTTGTGCGGCCAGGAAGCGCGTGTCTTTCCTAGCTACACCTGCTTGTACGTTTGCTACACGCCATATCTCATGTCCTGTAGTACGATCATATCAATGTCGTCCTCCTACTGTTCAGTCAGCTATTAGGACACACATACATCCCATTCCAGCCAGCCGAAGACAAACCAACGGGTTCGATATGGAAGTACTACTGTAGTAGAAAAAGCTGTCCAGACGGCAAACAATGTTGTCTACGAATACTGAATGTCGCACGGAATTTCATTCATCATCATGCACATTCCATCTACCCACCACGTGAGCGGACACATCCCGCAGGGGTGCATCAGAGTTCTGTGGGTAGACTAGTCATCTTCATTCCTTCTCCCGGCAGTGCTCACTGCACATACGTCTCGAACGTTGGCAAGCGTACCCAAGCAAACGAAAAACACCCATCCTCTCCCTCACCCCATCATTCTCTTGTACCACGTGTACCTGACCCTGAAGCAAAAAGCGAGGCGCCAGCAACCCTCCGTCCCCTGTGTATACTTGCCGAACCAGACAAAATTGACAGAGGCCATAATACACAGAACACATGACATATCATGTCAAGCACCGCTCAACACGCATTTCACTCCCGATCAGTCACCGAGATGACCCGTCAGGGTGAATGAACGACTAGAGCGAGCTAGGCTACACAAAAAACTACCAACCAGCCATCCCCCGGCATCGACGATACTTCTGCACGCTCGCGCTTTTCTCCTCTACTTCCACGCGAGTGCGCAAGATACACGGATCGCCACCCCCGCCCCCCCTTCTCAAGGCATCATACATACATCGTGCGAGGCAATGGTCTACCGACTACGGCATGCACGACTATGAGTATGAGTATACCCCCCCCCCCCAGGTACGTGTGTTGCCTCTTGGCGCGGCCGTGTCACACTAGGGAGTACCACAAAACACCAAAGGCATGCTTCTTTTCTGCGATGCGCGTAGCATACTACACTATATTACTGCAATACAAGACAACTATCTACCGTAGCATGTCAAATTCATCCATTCATCCTCTCCTGGCAGGTCTTTCCGCCGCCAACCTCTTCCTCCACCGGCCCTGTGAAGGTGCAGGCGTGGGTTCCATACAAACAAATTATGCATCACACCTACGGACGATAGAAAAATCACACCAGGGGGCGCACGGTAATCAAAAAAGGAAGTTGCATACCCATTATTACTACTATGTAGCACGAGAAAACACCACCACCGGCAGATACCTAAATAAGTCGGGGAATATTTCCTGAACTTCATCAATAGCAATATATAGTAATATACAACCCGAACGATATAGTTAGGAAAATCATCAAGAAGGCGGTATATGTAGGGCCACAAATGCCACCATCCATCCCAATCAAGATGCTCGACCATGAGAAATCAAACAACACCGCAAGACATGTAGGTGCAAACGCACGTGCATTGTTGGATGAACAAGAAACTCACTTCAGTCTTCGGGGAAAGAGCGAGGCACAAACAACGAACAGACACCTTCTGAAAGAATCGTCGCGCATATGCGCCAACGGGTGTGTGTGTGTAGACTATCCCCGCTTACCTCAAGTGAACCGAACAGTTACGAATATAACATGAAAGCTCTCAATCTTTCTCTCTCAATAGACAACAAGATTGCGTCATCATCGTCAGTAATTGTCAACAAGCAACAACGATAGACTACAAAAAACGGGGTCAAGAACAAAACCCACGCAAGAGCGAGAACAAGCAACATAAGGCTTGGCTTCAACTCGCCGTCCTCAAATCGATCCTCGCAACACCCGAGCGCGGCAAAGTCACAAACAACAACCACAACAACCAAAACACCGCCAGCTGTCCAAGAAACACGACATGCTGCTGATGGTAGCGAACAAAAACACCTATCTCACGTAACACAACACGGCAACAACAGTCGTCCCACCGCCGCGACTGACCTTCCTCTACCCGTCGGTCCCAAAAGGAGAGCTCGGCGAAGGCGCTGGCTCGGGACAACACCTACTACTCTACCACACACCGAGCGGAAGACGCAAACCATACTGTATGCCATCCGGGTGTCTAGAAGTGCGCCGCCCGCATCATCCCCAGAAGGCATGCAACAAATCAGCACCGAATGACGTCGGCCCAATTGGTCGATGCTATGCTACTAACCCGCCGGTACATGGCCGGCATATGATATACGAAGTACCTCCACCAATCAATCCCCCCCTGATCTCTTTGTATTATACACGTACCGTGATGATGGTGCACAATTCATCGGCAGTGGCCTGGTAAAACTCGTTCTCCGTTCTTCAGCTGTTCATAAGTAGAAAGAGAAATTCCCCATGCACGTGAAACCAAACTCGCCTGGCTGTGCACCACGAACACGTCACGGACCTCCCCCCCCTCCCCAGACGTCTAACGCCGGTTGGTGCTTCTGTCCAATCAATGCACTGGCGTAACAAACAGTCCAACTAACAGAAACAACCGCGCATGGTACGCATGGCTTCGAACAAGCACCGAACGAGCGCGCACACGTACGTCCGAACGACGCCTGAGCACAACGCCTAAACATCAAGCGACATGTAAACGACGACACACCAAGAAACAACGACACCGGCAGGTTGACTCTTTCGTCCACCGCTCGCATGACACACGCCTTCAAGCTTGTACCGCCAACCATGCCACAAAAAATAACCACCCACTAACAATCTGCCCTCTTCTCTCTTAGTTTTTAGGCTATGGGAAGGCAACAAACTAATGACTGCCCTGACGGAACACTAGTTCAAGGAGAAAAAAGCAAAAGCGGCAGTACTGTCGTGATAAGGCTTTGGTTGCTCCACGTGCATGGCGAAAAGTTTATCTCGCACCCACGATGGCCCAAAATTCGTTCATAACTAAAACCCATCACAGGGAGAAAGAAAGCAGTAGGGAGTACCACTATCGTAAGGTGCAGCACAAGCATATGGTGAAGTTGCATGTCCACGCAACCGCCATGATCAGGTCTTACCAATCCATGCTCAGCACCTGCTGCAAAAATATGATACAGGTTCAAAACGCACCAACAACTACGTCAGGCCTCTGCTGCTACTGCTGCTGCTGCTGCCCCAAAGCCCTGTCTTCCAACCCCAGAATAACTATCTAGCAGTTTTTCAAACACAGCGACTCGGTAAAGCGCTGTCTCAAACAGAGAAACAAAAAACAACGTGCAGATGCACAGTATTTTAGTCGTTGGCGTTTTGGTTTCGCCGCGACTTCTCCATAAAACCGCAGCCAGCAAAATAAAACTTCCTCAAAAATAAACGATTTTCCACGCGGGAAAAGAAATGAAGGGGGAAAAGAAAAAACAAGGTGCTTGGTTTTCGCCGTACTCGTCTTCCCAGAAGAGAGGTGACGGAGCACCGCAATATCGAAAAACATGCCTCCACGGGGAGGAGAAACCCCGTCACCACAAAACATCGTCATCACTACATCTGTGCAACAACTAAGTCCAAATAAATCGTACCACACATCGAATCGCACCACACACATACACGACTTTCTCTCGGAAAACCTGCGTAGAGAGAGTCACCCAGCCCATGTACCTAGCGGCTAGCAATATCCATGGTGCTACCTTCTCAGTAAAAATTGCGATAAGAAAGAAAGAAGAAAAATCCATCAAAACAGCAGCCGATATAAAACAAGAAAAAAACGCCCGAAAAAAAAATGAACAGCTTGGGCATCTCTCTTCCCAAGGCCGTCCAGCAAGAGCTGTCTTGAGGGAGAGCTTTTCGGCCCCGTACAATTCACATCGCATTTCTTGGCAAGAGGGAGAGGGGTAACCCGGGTCGGTCGTGTACAGAGTTCAAATCATCCGAACAGACCACGGGCATCTATGACAAACAAATCATTGCTTGGCTATTGCAGTGACTATTGGGCAACCGGCCGCATCACGAACAACAAACCCAGGTACTATACAAGACGAAAAAAACAAAAAACACAACACTGTGGCCGAAAAGCGAACCGAAACGTTCCGTTTGCGGCGACCGAACACTCCGGCCAACGTAGTAAAAATAAAATAAGCTAAGCGAGGCCGGATGATCGTGACCAATTTACGAACCCATCATTCTATGGCCCGACCCAAACGCGCATTTCGTAAAAAGACCGCCAAAAAATTAAAAACACCAAAGAGCCACGGCAAAATTGACGTGCTTCAACCTGACACTCCTCCGAGGAATATCTAGCAAATCCCGCGAGGCCTACTCGAGCCCAACCCCAGCTCCTGAGCCTCCGCCTCCGCCGGGCGCAGCAGGTGCAAGAACCGGTACCTGGGCCGGAGACACGGGGCGAGAGACGCCGGCGCCCACGATCCTCGTGATGGCCAGGAGGCGCCTGGACGCCATGCGGAAGGAGGTTTCCACTTCGACGGCGTCGCCGTCGCTCGGGGGGCGCATACGGTACTGCACCTGTTGGCGCCGCGCGGGGTTGGGTGGGGGCGGTGGTCTTTAGGCTGTCTACAGAGTGTGTTCATAATTAAATACTTGAAAATCAGGCGGTTGAGTCACGTTTAAGAAAAGAAAACGCAGCTTTTGAGCGCAGTGTTCAAATGGCCCAGGTGATTTGTTTCTGGTCAAAAATGCGTGTTGAATCGTTTGCTCCCTTGGCCATCACCGGCGGCGTTGCACGTCATATGGCAACACCAACTTGGCTCATACCAGTTTGGGAACACTGTGCATGAAGCTTGCCTGCTTGATTCCTCCACGGCTGAGTGTGTCCATGATGGCTTGGACCACGGCCTGCACGTCCTTGGGTTCCACCAGGTCAAGCAGCGACGTGCCCAGCATCTTCTGCGCTCGGCAGGATTTTCAAGTCAGCAGGGTTAGCAGGGCTAGGTAGAAGGGCGGAAACATGAAGAAGCATGCATCACGCAAACGCGACGCATGAGAGTGACCAGGCGCCGGCAGAGCGTGTTTTGGGAGAAGATTGGCTTGGCTCAATTCATTACCTGTCAGAAACATTTGTAGCGGGAGCTATTGCACCGCCTGAACGACTCACCGTGGGTTCGAATCCGAGCTGCCGGTAGAAGGCTCCGGAGGCCAGCGCGAAGAAGGCATCGGCGTCGGCGGAGTGCACCGAGATCATGTCGTGCGCTTGCTCCACGAGCATGCGGTACGGGCCCAGGTCGATAGACTGCCGGTACGGTACAGAAACAGACGGAAACGGGATGGATTTTGAGGATCTAAGGGCTCGCCCGCTCGTGCTCAACAATACGGTATGTTACCACGTAGTGAAGGAACCTTTCAAAGGGAACTTCAACCGAAAGCCCCTTAAGCAGAAGGCGGTGGGCAAGGGTGCAACCGATTTTACAGAGCCCAAACAAGACGAAGCTTGCACGGTTTGTGTGTGTGCGTGTGTGTTTTTTATTATTAGCATCGACCGCGCTAACCGGCTGACCAACGAAAAGACGTCACTCTCAGTGCGGTTGAAAACACAAAACACTTCTATCTACCATGAACTGTGTGTGTGTGTTACTGGTTTGCAACGCACCGCCTGCTTGAGACCCTCCAGCTGAGCCTTCTTCCGCTCCCGAGACCTGCGGCTGTGGTCGCGGTTCTTCTCCCGGTTGCGCCTGGCCTTGTCGTCCAGAAAACGGTCGCCGTCCTTGCCGTCCTTGCCGGCGGCAACGGCGGGGGAGGCCGGTGCTGGGCTACCCTTGCTCAGGGACACCTTGACCCTGGTACAGGAATTAGTCGGTCGCGGGGGGGGAGAGGGGGGGCGGGGTCTCGGCGGCTATTATTTTTTCCTTCTCAAGAGGAAGGTGCTTGTGATTTATTTTATTCCTCAGCGGGGGAAGTACTCATGCCTTAGCGGTTAGATCATCTACCCCGCATCCTCCCGAGCGGACGGAAGGAGGGTTTCATGTGTGGCGGCTACGCATGCCAAGTGCCTCCCCCGGCCTCACCTCTTTGTGCTTGATCCCTCACCGCGACCGGCCGCCTTCCTAACGTCGCCGCTCTTCGGCGGGATCTTAGCCACGGAGGTCGCCGGCGTGCGAGCGGCCTTCCTCGGCCTCCCCTCAGCCGCCTCCGCAGCGGGGGCCTCGGGGGTACCAGTTCCGAGCGCCTTCGCCTTCTTCGCGGTCTTGATCTTGAGCTGCACGGGGCTGGAATTATTCTGCTCCTGCAAGGGCTGCTTCTTATGCTTCTTCGGCACGTTCCCGGCGACCCTCTTGATGGACTTGCCGCTGCCGACCGCTGGTCTCTGCTTCCGCTTCGGCGCTTGCTGCTGCTGCGTGTGCGGAGGACTAGTTGGAGGAGATACCGGCGCTGCCGCCGTCGCCGGCGCTACCGGTGAGGAAGATCCTGGCGAAACCAGGAGCTGCTTCCCGAGCGAAACCTTATCGAGAACGCCCCGAGGGACGATGCCCGCAGCAGCCGTGCCCACCGTCGCCGCCGCCGCTGCCGCTGCCGCTGCCGCCGCCGCCGCGGGAAAGACGAGATTCTTCGGTCCGCTCGCGCGGGGAACGACGGCCGTAGGCGCAGAAGCTGCGGTCGCCGCCTCCGCGGCTGCATCCGCCAGGTCGAAGCAATTCGACACCCCCCCGCCGCCGGTGACCTCCTCCACTAGGCTCTGCAAGCTGTCCTCGAAGGTGCAGCCGTTGTTGTTGTTTTGGTGGTGGTTAGGGTGGAAAGGGAAGAGGGGGACGGGGTCCAAGTCTTCGGAGCAGTCGGACGAGCCGTTGTCGGTGGTGGTGCTGCCCTCGTGCTCCCAGGCGGTGCTGCCGCCGCAGCCGGTGCTCTGCAGGGTCTGCAGGAAGTCACCCTCGGTGCTAAACACGACCGGGCTGCTGTTTATCGTTCCGGTCGGTGTGCGCCCGAACCGGCCATGCATAGACGAGGGACGGTCAACAAACACAGCAGTCGACTTCATGAAGCAAGTGGTTTCTGCCCCACCGGGGGAATAACTGCTGCGGTCACTTTTCAGGGGACGGCAGCAGCGGGTTTCCTGCTCGTTCCCACTCGTGTGGCGCTCGTGTACCATCATGCATTCTCGTGCGCGTTATCAGGGTAACTACATGTAGCCACAACGGGGTATCTACCGCGGACAGGCAATAGCCCGGACCCAAGTGGATAGATGACGATAGCACACGAAGCGAGAGGACTGGCTACTCGCCGCGACGTACATGAAAGAAAGGCAACACCGACGCTTAAAAAAACAACACGTGGTTATCCGAGGATACTGCATGGTAGAGAATCAAGACTCAACGTCGCAATCTCGTACAAGGCCACCTTAATTCGTAAGGTCCTTTACCTGGCGGCCATCGGTGAAAGAGCCCTGCTGGGCGGCGCCTGCAAGGCTCCCAAGCGCGGCGAGGCGGGCCAGTCCAAGACGTCCTGCAGTTGCTGGTGCTGCTGCTGCAGCGGGAGCAGCGAGCAGGAGTGGTACGGTTCCGGCGACGGCGACGAGACGACGCCTCCCGAGAGTGCGGGAGAACCCACATCGTGCTGCTCCATTGGCTTGAAGAACTGCTGCTGCGGAGCACCCGCTTCGTACAGCTTCGCGGTCGGGCTCGATGCCCATGACGAGGCCCTAGTGGGCAGCAACGAGCCCGGGGGGGGGGCGGNGGGGAAGCGTGCTCATGTTTTGTGTGCCTAGCTGTAGCGGATGTCGACCGACCCTGGTGCGTGCACCACCCGAGCGCCGCGAGACCTTCCGCGGTTCGCGCAGAGGGCGGGGAAGTACTCACAGCCAATAAATTGGCTGTTGGGGGGGGGGGGTGTACTCATAGTCGTGCATGCCGTAGTCGTCAGACCATTGACCTCGCA